CTGACCTCACAATGATAAAGTAAAGGGGCCTGTAGTACACGATGCTACTGTCAGCATGCTGTGCGTTTCATGACTCAGCCACAGCACATTCACCAAAGGAGAAACCCCTCCCTCTCTCGTCTGCCTAGCCAGCCAGCCTTTTTACTTGTACTCGGAGATTTGGAGACTATCATTCCCTTAGGAATTAGGTTCACTAGAGGAGCATTCTGGTCTCAATGGGACGTTTTCCTCTCTGAATTTGAAAGTAGATAGCCCCTGAAAGCAACAGGAAGACATGCTCAGAGAACTCAGCATTAAAAACAAATAATGAATAGTATCAATGTAATGCTTGCATGAGAAACCTCTGCTTTTACCAAAGTGATTCAGATGGGGTTGCTGAGAACTGGGTCCTCGCCATCTCTGGCAGCCCATGCTGGGTTGTGAAGGTGTGTGCTTACTGCTGAGGACTGGAAAGGGGGCATTTCTTGGAGCCTTGGAGCCCTGGGAGCGAGCCAGCCACCTCTCTCCAGATGACAGGCCTGCCAGACACCACTGTCTTCCCCAAGCTATAGTCAAAAGGCCGTAAAGGTCACAAATGCATGCAGGCTGACTCGCCCCTTGAGTATCAGTGGCTCTTGGAAAATACGGAGAATAACTGGAACGTTGACTAACATCTCCCATAATCACAACACCAGAGATAGCCCGTGTTAAGATTTTCTGTTTCCTTCTGTACTATTCTTGATTTATCTGGCAAAGGGACCTCAAAAGCAGCGAGTGTGCAGAGGAGGAAGGCTGGCTCCACCACCCCCACACCAAAGAGAAGCTCAGGCTCCACGAGGAAGAGAGCTTTTCCTTTATAAAGCGAGTTCTTGGCCAGATGCGGTGGCTCACGCCTGTAATCCCAACACTTTGGGAGGCTGAGGCAGGCAGATCACTTGAGCTCAGGAGATGGAGAACAGCCTGGGTACCATGGCAAACCCCTGTGTCTACAAAAAATACAAAAATTAGCTGGGCGTGGGTGGCGCATGCCTGAAGTCCCAGCTACTTGTGAGGCAGAGATTGCAGTGAGCTGAGCTCGTGCCACTGCACTCCAGCACCCCAGCCTGGGTAATAGAGTAAGACTGTCTCCAAAAAAAAAAAAAAAAAAAAAAATGTTGTGGTTGTGCCTTCGTCTTGCGGACTCACTTGTGGCAATGCCCCCAAGGCTTGCCCTACAGCTTCTCACAGAAGTGACAAGAGAATCATCCGGATGGGAACCTGACCCTTCTCAGTCTAGCCTCCATCTGCTGCAGCCTACATAGATATTTACTATGTTTACGCCAGGAAAATGATGCTTTAAACCCACAGAAGAAAAGCATGTAGGCCAGGAGTGGTGGCTCACGCCTGAATCCCAGCACTCTGGGAAGCTGCATGGAAGGGCTGCTTGAACCCAGGAGTTTAAGACCATCCTGGGCAACATGGTGAAACCCCATCTCTACAAAAAAAGTTAGAAAAAAATAAAAAACCAAGTAATGCAAACTGTAAAGGATGCCAAGCTTCTAATCCAAGGGGATTCAGATCCACCCACCTCGGCCTCCCGAAGTGCTGGGATTACAGGCGTGAGCCACCGCGCCCGGCCCGAGGTGGTTTCGATAATACTGTTTTCCTGCCAGTTTTGAGTACCCAGGGACAGAGGACAACATTGAAACCATTATTATCTTATGACTCTAATTTTAATTTTCTTTAGCTCCTAATAACACTTGACCTCCAATAATACTAGAGTCTAGCAGGTTCATCTTAAGGTAATGGGCACAAATGAGAGAGATGAAATCACAGTGCAGAGGAAATGGCACAAAGCCATTTGTGCCATTTGGAAATCCTGCTAAACCACTACAATCTAAGTTAACTTTTTTTTTTTTAAAGAAAAAAGTAGCTGGGACTACAGGTGTGCACCACTATGCCCGGCTAATTTTTTTTTAATTTTTGTAGAGATGGGGTCTCCCTATGTTGCTCAGGCTGGACTCAAACTCCTGGCTTCAAGTGACCCTTGCACCTCAGCCTCCCAAAGTGCTAGGATTACATGCGTGAGCCACTGTACCCAGCCTGAGTTAACTATTTTAAAATAATATTTAAGAAGACACTGAGATACTTTGCCCAATAGAAACCAGGAGGAAAAGCAGTGATTTAAAAGATGGAATTAAAGAACCCACTAAGTCAAGGATGCTCTGCCTACCTAGAGCTGCCAGGAACTCGTGGCATCCCGGGAGCCGCCACAGCTGGACGCTGATGGAGACCTGAATGGGAGCTGATGCCAAGTCCTGCTCCTTCTCGCCAGCCTGGAGCTGAACCAGCACCTGGTGGAGCTGAGGAAGGGAGGACAATGTGAGCACCCTGTGTCTCCTTCCCCTCCAGCCCTCCTCAAGACTTGACCCGTTATTCTTATGTCACCTGTCACTGGCATCACTAATGACCCTCGCGAGTGTAGCATTTAAGATTCTTTTCCAGGTGCATTCATACCTGCTGTCCTGCTGTCCTCTCTGTGGGAAGCTGATGGGGCAGTGGGGCAAGAGGCTGTGTGGGGCAGGAGAGGCTGTGTGGCCTCCTGGGGCTGGGGCCAGGCTCTGCTTCCAGCCTCATGTCTTCCCTCAGGTGTGGGAGAGCCTCACAGGAGAGGCCATGGAGAGTAGAAGGGGTGAGTTGGGACCGGCCACCTCCCTCTTTCTTAAGTCATCTTTGGGATCTTGAGGTGGATGGCAAAGAGGAACCTGGTTACATCTTAGAGCCTCACAGCTTGAGGAATAACCCACGTGGCCCACTCGAGTGTCCACTTCCTTTCAGATTTCAGGGTCTCTGGCCTCTCCTCAGGGGTCTGTGTGTGGGTTCACAGAGTGTCACTCACTTAAAGCTGGTTCTGCTCCTGCTGTTGTGGTGGACCTTAAGAGGTCAATCAAAGACACAAGAAGGGTGGAGCAGGAAGAGGGGAGCCAGAGCAGAGGAGGGGACAGGCCGCCGGAGCCAGCGGCAGTGGGCACCTGCCTGGAGCGCCACAGCCTGTGTGGCTCCGTTTGACAGCACGTGCACCCCGAGCTCAGAGCCTGCCCAGGGGAACTCGGGGGTGGGTGGGTTGAGGGGCTCACCTGACAACAGTTGCTACTTAAAGTAGTACTCACCATTCCAACCATATTTTTAACAGCCTTCGGCCAGCAGATTATAAGAAAAAGAAAGAAAAAGAGAGAGAAAGAAGAGAGTTTAGACTCAAGCACAGGCTGTTATGCAACATGAGCTGATCACTGTTTAGGAAGCGCCACACCAGGCCCGCGGCTCTGACTGGGAGGGGAGAGGAGCAAGAGTCAGCAGGGGACACACAGGAGAACGGACAGCCACACCCAGGCCAGCCGCGTGCGGATCCAGGGGCTCAGGGGCAGCAGCAGCCAGGCCTCCCTTCCCAGCCAGTAGAGGCTCAGGAGGGGAAAGAGCACAGCGGGCGTTTGTAGCCAGCTCAGGAAACCAAAGTCCCTGGTTCCCGAGCGACCCAGGAAAGATCCACCAGCTGCCACCACTGGGGGCAGCCTCGGGACACATCCCTAGGGCCCGACGGCATATCAGGCAGAAAGTCGCTGTGTTCCCATTAAAAGCAAAGAAATTAAGCAACTGGGTTTTTTGGCCTCTCAGCACAGTCCTGCAAATGGAATATAATTTTCGCTTTCAGATTTTGTAGAACACAGACCTCTAGACTGCCTGGGTTCAGAATGCTTTAATACGCAATATCCTGGAAGTGTTTTCCTGATGCTATTCAACAAGCAGGCATAACACACTTATTACAAAATGGGCAGAGACTCAGCCAAAGGTACAGGTCACTGCTGGTTCTAAGTTCCAAATCCATGTGGAAACAGCCCCAGGTAGCACTCAGTTTCAGAGGCTACTACTAGATGGAGCAGCTTTATTTCTCCATAGAAATATTTCTTCTGCTTAAGTGAAATTTGCTGGCAAATATCTCTAACAACAACATATATTACTTTTTCAAATTGTTACACTCCAGAATGGCCAGAAAAGCAGCTCTGTGCTCTTCAAGGGCTGCTCCAGCCTCCAGAAGTGCTCCCACAGCTGTCCCCCTAGGGCTTGGTCCAGACCCTCCCTGGCCAGAATGCAGTGGTGCAGCATGGGTACTGAGAAGCTCCCAGGCCAAGCTGCAAAGGACCCACATGATGCTAAGAACTGGAACCCTCTGAACTCCTGAACTAGATCTGTATTTTCCTAAAAGAAAGCACATCTGCTAAGCAGTATCTTGCATTAGAGTTGCTCCTGTGTTCACTGCTTTGCCTCAGTGACTGTCTTGTTCCGGCATGGTAAGTACTTTGATCAGAGAAGTATGGGAACACCTGCAGCTGTCCTGGCAGGCTGGCCCCACACCTGGTGGCTTGGGGAGGGTGGCTGTAACAGTTGTCAATCAGCTGAAAAAGTTGGTGGTGAGGAGGACAAGGTTCAGGAGACCACTGAATGGAGATTTCAGGAAATGCCCTGAGACCACAGGTGACAGGGGCCCCATAAGCATCCTCTGAAGGCCCTTGATGCTCAGCACCCAGTGAGAACACTATGCAAACCTGCCCCTCTGTGCCCCGCTGAGTCAAGCACCCAGCTTCACCCTGGGGTTGGCCGCACAGCTTCATCAGGGCCACAGGTGCACCTGACAATGCCAATAGTGGCCAGTGTCTGCTGGCACGGCCTCCCATCATCCTGGGAAGGGGCAGCACCGCTGGCACGGATGCCTTGGCATCATAGATGGAAATAGCAGGTAAACAGCACTTGCCAGGGAGGGCTATTCTCTTACTACCAGCCCTCATCTTCTCCTTTGAATCACAAAGGCAATGAGACTGCATTAACTTACAGGTTCCTATTTAGGGCCAAGTTGCTCTGCCTTTCCAAATCAGCATGGGCCTCAGGCCCTGGCTCAGCCCTCCAGGCTCGACTTACCCGGCTGATGAGCTGCTCTCCTGTCTCCGAGGCAGTGATGAGTTTGCAAAGGGCTTGGAGGGCAGGATTGGGCAGACCTAAACCAAGGAAAAAGGGTAGAAGTTATTCAGAAGAGCCTCTGCACCCAAAAACCTTCCCTGGGGAAAGAACCCTAAATCCTCGGCATCGGTGGCATTTTTCAGAAGCTCAGCACAGCTGGACATGTGTGTCTTGTGTGTGACTTGGAAAGGGACAGTGTGGTCTCCCAGGAAGGTGGGTAGAAGTGGGGTGAGTCCTGACCCTGCCGCAGTCCTCTAGGCACAGCCACGCTCCAAGGACCCAGGCAGCACCACCCTGAGTCAAGCACCCAACTTCACCCTGGGGTTGGCCGCACAGCTTCATCGGGGCCACAGCTGCTGATGACAATGGAAGTAGTGGCCAGTGTCTGCCGGCACGACCTCCCGTCATCCTGGGAAGGGGCAGTGCCAGCTGGGCGCAAATGCCTGCCATCACGGATGGAAACAGCAGGTATATGGCACTTGCTTCCTCCAGGTGTGGAGATGCTTGTGTCTGGGACCCCTTGCCATTTCTCAGAACACCCTGCTCCTAGCTGGGAGATCCAGCATCCTCATGAATGCGGGGCCCAAGGCCACCAACTGTTCCACCTGCTGTTAGCCAGACCTGTTGCCCCAGCCCTACACCCGCAGCTCACCCAGCAGGGACTGGAGGGTGCTGCTGCACTGCTGGAGCCGGTCACCCGGGTCAGAGGTTGGGAAGAAGACAGCTGCTGGCAGGCCGCTGGTTGGGGGGTCCAGCCGGAAGCCCACAGCGGTGAGGAGGGCCTGCCAGCCAGGGATGCCGCCCACTTTGTTCTCCACGCTCTGCTGGGACGTGTACATGGCATTGCGCTGCCCGTTCTGGATGCGCTGCAGGGACTTTTCCACCTGGGGGGAAATTGGGGGTGAGTCAGAGACCCAGGCCAGCCCTGGTTTCTGTCCACATGGCTTTGAGGGTACACAAGGCCCCAGGGGTGAAGCAAGGCTGACTGCTGCAACCCCACGTGGCCCACATGGCCAGGCCTGAGGATGTGACAGTGGGGCACTGACCAGGCATCTTGCGAGGGAGGGCACAGAAGAGAAGGATTTTACAATCAGAGCCCTCGAGGGCTGGTACAACAGAAGGATTCTGTCCCTCCCCTAAACCAACCCCTTGCACACTCTCCACAGACAGTAAAGCAACGTGTCTGAACACACAGGGGCCTGCCTCAAACCCTGTAATGGCTCCTGCCCACTAGGGATAAACCCTCAGGCCCTTCAGGAACCCCCTCGCTGCCCGCTGCCCACAGCCCAGCCCCATCATGGGGTCATGGCTGGCAATGCCCTTCTTCCCCATTCCTCCCACTCAGCCTTCGTCCCTCCGCAGTGGCCTCTGGAGCCTGTACCTCCCTCTACCAGGAAGTGTCCTCCTGTCATCCAGGGCCTGAACACTTGCCTGGCACTTCTACGCTGGTCACCCAAGTCACTGCTGCATGAACTACATGAGTGAGTGTTTTAACAGTAGTGCAGGGTCTCAAGGCTAAGTGGGGACAGCTGAGAGGCGCAGTGGCTCACACCTGTAATCCTAACACTTTAGGAGGCCAAGATGGGTAGATCACTTGAGTTCAGGAGTTCAAGACAAGCCAGAGCAACATAGTGAGACCCCAGCTCTATACCCCGTCCCCCGCAAAAAAACACCAAATAACAGTAGTGCAAACAGCTTTCATCGGGCCTCCCTGGGCCTCTCTCTAGTGGAAACCCCTGTCCACTCTGGGATGTTGGTGCCCTGTGAGGCACATGTGCCCTCAATGGAGGGGCATGAGTGGTCCAAGATGACCTGAGGCTTTTTTTTTTTTTTTAAACAGTAAACACTGGGATGCCGGAGCACAGGCGTCCAGACAGGAGGAAGTGTGTACTCACATCAGCCAGGAGGAAACAAGCCTGCCCGGGAGGACAGAAGATGAGCCCTGGCTGTCACTCAGGCAGGGCGGGCCTCCAAGACACTGCCTACTGGATCAAGGAATATCCAGGAGGTGTTAGAAGGTAGGGGCTGGGGAACTTGACCGATGGCCCCCACACTCCTGCATCCACCCCAGGAGATAATACCAAGGAAAAAGAGGAAACCCTTAAATGGGCCTGAGGGGCCCCAAGGCCATGTGGGGGCAGCTAAGAGGCCTGGCCTGGGAGGAGGCGGCTAATGGGTAGAGAAGGCAGTTCCACTACCCCAAAAAAGCAGTGTGCAGTGGCAGCAAGGACAGAGGGACTTTGCAGGTGACGGGACCTGAGAACTGAAAGGCTCTAGGCAATTTCCAGATACGGGGTAACAATGGAGAGGGCCTCCCAGCACCCTGGGCGTTGGCCTCCTCGAGCCAACTAGGGGAATGCTGGGGGCTTGCTCATCACAGTGTTCACATACTGATTACTTTCAGGCCTGAGGAGACCCTAAGCTTAAGAAATGTGTGTGACTCTATCCTCAGAAGTACATGGAGAGCTACCACGCACAGGCCCAGGTGCCACAGGTCTGAACAGAGGGACCTGATCAGACCCAACCCACGGGCAAGAAGTTTGCATAGCCCAGGAGACATGCTCGCTCCCAGGCCTGCGTGGACACTGCCCTAGATCCTCCATCTTAACCATGGACGGAGCCAGGCTGTGCAGCAACCAGCCTGCAAGGAGGCCCTGGGGTCTGTGGCAGATTTGGAAGGAGCTTGGCTGTGGCATGGCTGTTCACCCACACTGCATGGGCCCCAGGCTGGCACTGGGCTAGGAAGATGTGGGGTGGGCTAGGGCTGGTCTTTCTGGCACAGCACTCTAAATGATTTGAAACGGCCTTCCAGGTTGTTCCAAAGGTAGAAGGATGAAACAAGTTTGATGTCACTGCTGCTTGACTCAGTTGATAACATTTACACCTGTAGATGTGGGCCCTCCATTTGTGCTCTTGCCTGGGCTCCACAGAAGTTGGGGCAGGCTGGTCAAGGGCACGATCAAACTTGGACTCATTAGGGGCAGACTGGAGTCATCTGATGGTAAAATACGACTCTACTGTGCGGCGAGTACTCGCATTTTCTCAAATCCTCATGATAACCTTGAAATATTCAACCGTTACCACCCTTTCCAGATGAGAGCACTGAGGCTCGGAAAGCCAAAGTGACTTGCCCAAAGCCACATGACCTGGAAGCTGCTAGGGTATGGGTCACTGTCATTGGCTGCCCTTCCCCCAGGGTCCTGGCGAGTACTGCTACTACAGCCGCCTGTATGGCACCACCCACCGTGCCCACCCCTCAAGCCAGTGGGCTCATCTCGGGGACGTCTGCAGAAGCACCCTGGGGATGCTGCCCACTTTGTGCATCACGCTTTGCTGGGACATGGGTCTCCCAAGCAGGCTTATCCCAGGGACGTCTGCGGAAGCTGGTCAGTGCCGTCCTGGACATGGCCCCAGTCATGATGTCCTCTCCACCTGCTCACGTCCCGATGTAAGGAAACCCTTGCTTTCCCCTTCTTGCATAGCACTGCCAGCTCTTGTTGAGTGCAGGGTGCGCGACCCCCTTACCAGGTGCAGCAGCACTCGCAGGGCATCCCGCGCGCGCTCTGGGTGCTGCAGGATCTCTGTGAGGGCCTGGCCGATGAGTGATGAGGGGCTGTTCAGCTTAACATCACTCCCGATGAGCATGAACCCTGCATAGAGCAAAGGAGGACACCCTCAGCAGAGCGGCTGGAGACCCCAGCCCCACCCCGGCTTCTAGGGCTCACTTATGCCCCAAGGTTAACCCAGCAGAAAGAGCAGGGCCTGGCAGGGGAGCAGCTCACAGGCTAGACTGGGGCATCTGACTCACTGGATGGTGATGTGGCACCCCTTTGCCCCCTTCCTTTTAAGAATCAATATTGCTTAGCTGTTCAGGTATGTGGGGCCTGCTGTTTTGCAGAAAGGAGCCAAGGGAAGTACAGTGGGAAAACCTGCCTTTTTTTTCATGAAATTCATCTGTGTCTATCCTCAGGCCTTTAGGAGGGGACATGCCAGGGCAGGGGAGGTGCACGTATCTCCTCCTTGGGGCCACGGGGAGGCAGGGAGCGGCTACTCCTCCAGTTCTAAACCAGCAAACAAGCTCGGCTGGGAAAGGACCACAGCATCCCACCGTTCCTTCCCACATTGCCTTCCAAAACAGGGCCTCGGGGAGCAGGTTCCTCAAGCCCACGGGCAACTTTAGGACCAGCCTGCCCCCAAATCATGTAGGGAAAGGGTTTTCTAAGAGAATGAGCTGTTTTTAAAGGTAATAGGAGAGCATCACTAAAAATGGTTTCATCCGGAACAAAGTTGTGACTTATATTATCTATCAACAAAACTAAACAAACAAAAGACCCTTTTCAAAATGCCATGCCCGTAAGCACACTGGACAGACCTGCAGAGACAGGAAAGGGGCCAGGTCCCCACAAGCCCTGCAGTAGGTTTTGTGGGGTGCTGTGGGGCCCAAAGCCCCTTCTGACTGCCAGGAGCATGTCGCACAGGACTTGTGTGATGAGGACAATAATGGAAGCCACAGGGGTCACCTCTACTTTCTGTGTCTCCTAAGAGCAGGAGAAGCAGGTGAGCAGCCCTCCGTGCCTGCCTGTGCATGCTCCGCCTGGCAGAACCAAGGGATGGCCGTGAGGTGAGTAGGCAGGGTGGGGTATGTGCCTGTTGGACCAACTAAATGCTTTTCAGCCGCTTGAAGAAACAGGAACAATTCTATTTTGTTTTTTGAATAGCTCTTTGAAAAATACTCCAGTTGTATTTGTAAAGTAAGCAAAATGTTTCCATCTTTCAACAGCATGACCAAACGCCTGACACCAGCACCTGGGACTGCCAGGCAGCCACCCCTGCAGCTGTGTTGTTTGCTGGCTGACAGGGCCTGGCAGTGCTGTGGCTCCACCCCAGGGCTGACCCACCTTTGGAAAATGACACCAGCAGTATCAGGATGTGTCAACTGGATTTATGTTAAGAAAACAGGATTTTCGGTATTCTTCTGTTTCCCAAAGTTTGAGACACTTTCAGATACTCTGCTTTGCAGTTATGGCTGATGTTACCCATGGGGGGCGGGGGACTTTTGCTTTGCTCTAAATTTTCGTAACACCCTGGGGAGTTTCGGGGGCCAATGCTGAGAGAAGACCACAGGCTGATGCATCATGATGCATGTGGGTAAAACAGTCCCGGCTGGCTGAGAGGCCAGTGAGGGAATAGGCCCAGGGTTTGGTTTGTACTCTGTGAGTCTTGGCCTGGCAGGGTCTCCTGCACAGCAGAGCCCCTCTGAGTGGCTGCTGTGGGCAGCTTTCCACAGGGACCCCAGGGGAAGCAGGTTGTTGCGTAGAGCTGAGAGGCAGCTCCGTACGTGCCGGCCTTCCCACCTCCCCTGTGCCAGATGTCACAGGAACATTCTCTCTTTACTCCCTAGACCCTCCAGGCAGGCCCACTAAGAGAATGTATTCTAGAACATGCAGGGCCTGAAGCTTCACAAAATATTCAGTATACTCCTTATAGATTCCTCTCAAATGTGGACTGGGTGGTGTCATCAGCACCACCATCATCCCCTTGTTACCGCTGAGGACACAGCTTCAGAGAGATAAGTAACCTATCTCAGAGAGATAAGTAACCTATCTCAGGCCACACAGCCAGGACATGGAGCTAGATCCATCCTAAGTCTTTCTACCACACACTCCTTTCTACAGTCATGGTTTAAGTGAGGGTGCAATGGAATGGGTCATCCAGTGTACACTGACATCAGGAGGAGTTTCACATTCACACTCCCATGGCAAATGGTTCAGTTGCTCCCTGGTCCAAAGATGATCTTAATAGTAGGAAAAACTCATTTGGCAGAAGGAAAACTCAGCACACAGGCTCTCTCCCTGAGTCTTCTGCAGCTGGCCCTGCCCTGCCCTCCCCTCCCCTCCCCAACCCCACTTGCAGAATAAAGTCAGGGGGCTGTGAGGACTGAGCCCCAGGCCTTGACAGGCACCCGCAGCCGGCTGAACTCCCACCTGCCCAGTTGGAGGGGTGCGAAAAGGCCTTGCTGCTCTGCACCACCTTCATGGCCTCCCCCAGGGCGGCGCTGGCTTTCAGGCCATTCAGCAGGGATGAGTAGAAGGCATGGATGAACATCTTAGAAGCAGCCACTGGCACAGGCCACAGAGACACGAGGACACACTGAGCGCCGGCAGCCAGGAAGGCCCTTGTCAGCGCGATGACTCCGTCAGCTGTGACTTTGCTGTTGGACTCCTGGGAGGAGCCAAGCACCACCAGCTTCACGGGCAGCTGCAGGTCCAGGACATCAGCAGCCGTGAGCAGCAGCTCCTGCAGGGGCGGGCAGTCCGAGATGCTTTCCCCGTCACTGGCATCGTCCTGCACCCGCAAGGACTCAGGGATCGTGTAGGGGTGGCCAAAGGAGCTCTTGCTGCTGGCAGGGTTGCCGTCCATGCTGGGCGTGAGGACCAAGGCCGACAGCTTCCAGGAGATGTGGGTGGCAAAGTGGACGCACTCAGCCTGGGTCAGGGCGCTCATGACCCTCTCCTTGGTGGCTACACTGCCCACTAGGGGCTGGCAGCCCAGCAGCTCGGACACCATGTAGGCCTCTTCCTCAGCCGACGGCATGGGCCCCCACAGCCACCTGTCCATCACGGCTGATGGGAGCTTGGGGTTGCCGATGACAGCCGCCATGGATGTGGAGCTGGAGTATGTGGGCGGGTTCTTCCGTAAGTGAGACTAGGAGGGGAGGGGACAAAGCAGACCACCCGTCAGACAGAACAGCCAGGCTGCCCCGGCAGTGGTCAGCTGAGCACAGGGATGACCAGCTCTCTGCTGGTTGAGCTTGAATCCACCTGTTTCCCCAGTCACCTCATTCACTCTTATTTTTCAACATCTTCTTGACACAGGTGCCTGACTTACTGAGAATCATGCCTGCTGTGATGAGCCCTTGAAAATCATCAGGATTGGATGGTAGGGGTCCTGAGAGGACTGGGGGAGGAGGCCCTGATATAACAGAGTGGACAGAGCCCATGGAACCCAGGATGGCCAGCCTGCTCCACAATCCTCATCCCCACAGACCTCCCTGTGTGGCTCCTAAATAAGAGGAAACCCACTCCTGATAAGTCAGGGACTTTGAAGAGTGATTTTGTTTAAATCGTGCAAACAAGCAAGTCAGTCTTGGGGAGACAGGGCTAAACTAAGTCCTTTAAGAAGCTCTACATACTGACAAGATTCTAGTTCCCTTCTGCCTTATATGCTGCAAAGTAGAAAGTATCACTGAATGAGAAAATCAGCATAAAGAAGCCCAATAATGTCTGCCTGAGTTTCCCCTATGATGACTTTTGGTACTTTTTGGGAAACATTAAGTATGAAGTTACTTCAAAATAATTTTTTGGTGCCTCTGCTTGGTGATGCCTTAAACTCTGGGTAAGAGAAACACCAGGTGCCTGTCAGGAGATGGCCTCTTCCGGGTCTCTGGTTAAGCTACAAACAGCTAGCTGGCTGTTGTTATCAAAATAAAAGTTTTCTGAAGGTGGAGGCATCTGATACCCAGAGTGCTGCTATCAGCCAGGGCAGTGGGCCACTGGGTGGCAGGAGTGTCGAGAAGGCCAGCTTGATTCCTATCTGGGATTCAGAATCAGCCATGGAAACTTGAGAAACCTAAAGAAAATAACTTCTTTCACTTTGAACTGATTCTTTGCTTCATAAGAAAAGTATTATCCAGCTACAAAAATGGTCAAAATTCAGATCTGCAAAAACCCATGAGGCAGAAACTGACCCCACTTAGGCCACACCAATGAGCAAGTCATCAAAGCAGCCAAGACAGGTCCTGTGGGGGCCACTCATGCACAGGGCCCAGCCTTGGTTCCTAACCCCGCCTATGCTTTCCACCACTGTAAAGAGGACCATCTGGGTAAGACTTGTCCCACCTGCCATGGAGTATTAGGGCAGATGGGGTCTGAGGGCTCTGAGAGCAGCTGGCAGCTCGAGGGCATCCGGAGTTGGAGGATGGAGCAATGCAAGCCCTTGTGGTAAAGACAGTCCCGCAGCCGAGCAGGCAGGGATGCCGCAAGTGGAGTGCGAGGCAGGTGCGGAGCCCCGTGGGACTGTGGAGGGGTCAGAGGGAAGCCAGGATTTTGGGGTCTCTGAGAGTTTGGAGAAGGGGAAGAAGATTAAAGTTTGGCTCAAAAGTTTCTAATCAGGTGGGCAGGGCCAACGGTGGCAGTGGAGTGAGACCCATGACTCAGGGTGGCCCACTGTTACTCTCTTGATTTTGGGTGTTTCTTTCCAAACTGATTATTCTTGCTCAATGAGACCTGAGTCCCTGCCTGTCCCCTGAAAACCACCTGACTTGTTTTTAGTTCCATTGGCCTGTCGGGCTGTTTTCTACTCGACTCCATTCTTGCTTGTCTGCCTTCCCTGCCTGGGGCCCAGCCAACAGTCAGCTCAAGGGCCGGGTGAATTGGGTGGCTCTGCTCTGCCCACTGGGCATCGTGTGGATGGTGGGTGACCAGCCCCCTCAGGTGCTCAGTCAGGCCTCAGGCTTCACTGTGTACCTCAGAGCAGCTCAGAACCCTGATGTCACAGCAAAGAAACTTAGACATGACACAAATTGTGGCTTCCCGAGGCAGCAAAGAATGGCCAGGGGTCATGAGGGCTGAGCCCCACTTTTGGACAGAGCTACTCTAAAGTTATGCTACCTGCATGCAAATCATAAAATCAACACTTTTGAGGCGATCACCGCTATACCTTAGTAACACAGCCCGGTCCGACCAGATAGACAGTGCCTCGAGACCCGAGAACAAGCCCTTGGTCCCCCACCATGTGTGTGAGCCTTACCTTGGACTGCACGCTAAGGGAGCGGATGGAAGGGACAGCAAGGAGGCCGAAGCGCTCGTAGAGGTACTCGTTGGAGGAGCTTCCCTTCAGGAGGGCGAAAGGAATGAGGTAGAGCTCCCCCTCTAGAACCAGGATGAGCTGCCGGTGCCGGCCCACGGGGCCGCTGGAGTGCATCAGGCCCTGCGGAGCAAGCACGGAGAGGCTGACATGGGAGGCCCAGGAGGCAGGGGTTTCAGGCACCAGGACAACCCTGAGCCATAGCCTGGACGATACAAGTATGAGCAGGTGAGGCCTGCGGGGGTGTGGGATGCCGTGGGGTGTGAGGCGCCACGGGGCATAGGCTGAGCTGCAGCCCTGCAGGAGCGTCACCAACTAGCATGCTTGCTCGTGGACTGGCAAGGGCTGGCCTGGCAGCGTCCATCTGCCTCACAGTCCTGAGAAGGTTAGAGGACAGTTTCTTGAAGTTCATAAGAACCTGGAGTGGGTGGGAGACCGGCCTGTACTGCACAGGCACCCTGAGAAGGGGTGGGAAAGGCCCCTCTCAAAACAAGATCTGTTTTCCATTTCAATGGACAAGAGGCTAGAAAATCAGAGGGAGGACGGGAGGTCTGGGGGCTGGCATGACAGCCCCTGGAGAAGGGGATGGGCTGGGTTCTAGGACCTTTTGTGACTTCCTCTGAGGGAAGAGTGGCCCCTTGGCTCTGGGCTCGGGAGGTGCTGTCCCCACTTGTTCCCTCTGGGGATGTCAGGGGACCCAACGCATGGATGACTCCCATCCCTCTTGACAGGCTGGGCATGAGGACCCAAGGCAGGGTGTGCACAGGGCCACAGGAGACATAGGCTCATTCCCATTCATTGCAGAACAAGGCTAAGGCCACGGGCATCTTAGAGCAGCAGGCAACAATCCTGGAAGCTGGGTTCACACAGACTGAGGTGAACAAAGAGGTGGTGTGGAAGCTGCTGCTGCAGTCCAGAGCCTGCCAAGAAGGTCCCAGGTCCACAGAGCCTGCGCAACACTGGGTGCCAGGGGCGGGGCTGGCCTGCGCCCAACCCCGCCTGCTGAGGAGTGGCTGACAAGCGGACACCCACCAGGGTGCCACTCGCTTGTGCCTGGGGAAGCAAATGTGCTTGCTTGACTCGTCTGATGTGCTGCCGTGGGCACTTGGCTGAGGGTGGCAGGGCACTCGGCTAACCCAAAGTGACACGTGCCTGGCGGGACGTTCAGTCTCTGTAAACTCCTATGGGGTTTTCTTTCTTTCTTTAAAAAAAAAATGTCTAGCTCCATCTAGCGAAAGCAGAAATAAAAATTATTAGGCCAATTTGTTTTTCGTTTGTTTGCTGTAAGAGCTACAGTATGAGCCAGGCATGGTGGCTCATGCCTGTAATCCCAGCACTTTGGGAGCCCAAGGTGGGCGGATTATGAGGTCAGGAATGCAACATGGTGAAACTCCGTCTCTACTAAAAATACAAAATTAGCCGGGTATGGTGGCATGCATCTGTAGTCCCAACTACTCAGGAGGCTGAGGCAGGAGAATTGCTTGAACCCAGGAGGCGAAGGTTGTAGTGGGCCAAACACCAGTGTACTCCAGCCTGGGGGCAGAGCGAGACTGTGTCTCAAAAACAACGACAACAAAAAAAGTATTTCCCAAGAGGAGGTAAATTAATCACTGTGCAATTGTGCAACCTAGGCAGGAAGAAGTAGGGGTGTGTCACAGCGACCCTGACACTGTCTATGGATGAGCTCTGGGTCAGCACAGGGAGGAGAAAGAGCTGTAGGCACCTGGGCCCCATGGTCTGCCATGGGCCACACCTGAGCTCCCCGGCTGGCTCCGTAGGTAGAGGTGGCTCAGGGGGCTGCTCTGGAGGGGAGTGCCACCACACCGTGGAGGTATGCCAGTGAACCTTGAACCAGCCGCAGTGGCACAGCTGATGCTGCCCTGACACTGGTGACAGGGTCAGCAGCTGTGACAGTGATGGCCACCTGCTGCTCAGTGAGAACTGTGCTGCCTGAGAATGGGTAGGGTGGGGCTTGAGCCACTTGCCATGTGTAAAACTGGACCCACTCTCCACTGTTCCAGAGTCACAGGGCTTTGTTGTGACAAGATGCCAGCCCCAGCCCCACAGGTCCTCCCTGGGCTCCTGCCACCCAGGCCCAAACCGCAGTAAGTTTCTGTCAGATGTCATCCCACAGGCTACTGCCTTAACCAGGACACACACCACTCATAGACAAGTCCCTAATGACAGCACCTAACTGCGTGAACCGGACGGAAGCTTGGCAAGCTGAAAAAAGGAGAAGTGAAGCTGGAATCCACGCAGAGCGAACATTCACTGGCAGCACTTCTTTGTAGAACCCTGCAAACTCTACCCACAAAACCTCATCTACAGCACAAGCCTAATGATCAGAGAATGCATGTCCTTGAAGGCAGCTTGTCTGTCTTCTCCAACACTCCACCAGGGGTGGGGGGCATCTCCTGTGGCCCTGTTGTCAGAAGTCTCCCAAGCCTCGGCTTTCCCATCAGCCACTGAGTGGTGTCTGTCATGTGCCTACTGGGGACTCAGATAAATTTAGGGAAGTCAGATAAATTTAGGACATGGTCCCTGCTTGCAAACTTATGATGATGTACTTAGAAAACTAAAATGCACACAAGAGGCCATTGCTGAGTGAAACTTGGTATTATCAAATGTAACAGCCTCATGGCAGCATGGCAACCCCAGAACTGGGAGAGCCTATCCAGGCTGACACTGGGCCCACCCAGGAGGCTGCTCTGGTCCGTGAGAACTGGGGAAGGCCTGGCCTGGGCAGATGCTGTTGCCAGGTGAGCACAAGGCTAGAGAGGGACATGGAAGCCAGACTGTGGGGGTGCTGAAGATCAGGCAAGAAAGTGTGGTTCTTGTTGGCTGTCAGGACCTGCCATGCCTTCTCAAGCTGAGCCCTGCAAAGCATTGAGAGGCAGCCTGCCTGCCTGAGGGAGAGGGGCTATGCCTGGGAGTAATTCAGACCAGGGCATGCCCACCGAGAGAGGAGACAAGGAGACTTGCTGGGACTCAGTGACTGAGTGACCTTAGCGGGTGAGGAGAAGTCTGAAATCCAGGCTGGGAGATAGGGAGACTGTTCTCTGAACCTCATATCCCAATTTGGAGGTCTGGTCCTCCCTGCATCATGCCTAGGAGCTGGTACCGAGCTTGGCACATGCATACAACCCTGGGTGAAGGCCCCCAAATGGAACCCCTGTCCAAACTGTGTGAAATGAGGCAGGTGACAGCCACAGCTGTTCTCTGAAACGTGTGGGCTTGTGGGGAGACGGGTAGAACAGCAGGCTGACAGCTCCTGTTCAAAGGGGGAAACTGATTGGACATGCTAGAGACAATGCCCAGGAAATTTGTGAGCTCTGCCTCTGGTGTATGCGTGCTGTTCTTGCACTGAAAGATTAGCTATAATCCAATGTGAACTTGAAAAGGGGAAAGCAAGTGACATCTCTATTCAGCTTACATATCATCAGTCAGCCTACAAAGGAGAGGCATTCAAGGAAACACTACTCAGCATCTGGGCCTGTCAGCCTCGGAAAGGGCGTCTGCTGGCCTCTTAAGGCTTAGGGTTGAACAATAAAGTGGCTCATGCACCAGCCTTATAGCAGCAACTACCAGAATCTCCAACAGATTCTATCAAAGACTCAGATGTTCTGACCTTTGCAGTTTCTAGTAATGGGATTTCTGAAAGCAGAAGATGACAGGGCCAGGTGCACTAGAATCTGTCCCTTCCCCAGGGGTACCGCCCTGCGCTCTCACCAAGGGGCTGTGACCCTGACTGTGGCAATGTGAGTCCAGGCAGCAAATGATGCTTGAGAACTTACTGTGTGCCAGGCCAGGTGAGAGAAAAGGGGAAAGACACAGTGCTGGGCAGGCAGGCCACCAGGCACAGTATTGCGGGGCTGCCCTGGGGCACGGTGATGATGAGGTACCATGAAGGTGCAGTCTTTGTACAAGGAGAGGGTTGTTCCTTCTGACAGGGTGGGCAGTGAGTGCACTGGAGGTGACTTTGCACAGCTATTGTCAGTTTACTGTCTCTCAGGTCCTGAAGCCCTTGTCACTATCCACACTGAGACAGGCTGCATTCCTTCGGCTGTTTCTCCCACGATATGCAGGGTGCTGAGCTGTGTCAGTGGAGTGCACTGAGGGGCACTGAGGAAGCAGGAGACCTCCTGTCAGCCTGGGTCAGTGATGGCTGAGGACATCCAGAGGCCTGCCCAGCCACGGGCCCAGAGCACTGTCCCGTTGCCACCTTGCAGTCTCGGCCTGGTGATGATCTTCCCACATCCTTCTCTACATGGAAACCAGAGCCCCCACACTCCAAGGCCTCCTGCCTGTGCAGGTGCCTGGACTCCCTGGCACCCATCACCGCTGGAAGCTGATGGCTGCTCTCCTGTCCACACTCAGGGGGCTACCACTTGCCAGCAACTCCAGACTGACTCTGGAGTGGACATATCTCTGTGTCCTGTGGGCTGAACCACACCTCCTCCCATGTTCATTCTTTACTGGGTACACTCCCTCAGCCCTAGAGAACCACACAGCTTCCCTATATCTTACAATTACTTGCTTCTCATAGGTAATAGCTCTCTATACTGAACATTGTGGTTTCTGTCTCCAGATGGACCCAGAGAATGAAAAGCTATGTCCAGTGGCCCGGGAAGGGATGCTGCATGCTGGGGAAAGAATAAGGGTTCTGAGGGGAGGCCCTGCCACAGAGTCTGGGGCAGCCTGCCAAGTCAGCATCTGGAACTGCTAGATAGGAGGCAAAGGGTGAGAAACCAGTAGGGTTGGGGGTAGGGGATCTGAGCACTCCAACAAGACACTAACCTCTCTGCACCTTGGTTTCCAAACCCACAGGACAGCACTAACATCCATTCCTCACAGGCCTATGAGGCCAAGGTAGCTGCGCAGTGGGTAAAGCATCTAGCCCCATGCTTGGCACTGGTGTGCACTCCAGACATATTGGTCAAATGCGAATTTACAACTGTCTTCAGTGCTTGGAATAAGGTGACACCGCCCCTATTATTTATACTATTCGTTTCTTCTGGTCCATAATCATTTTTCCAGTATTACTCATTCCCTTTCTCTCTGGTGTTTACAAACATTCTGTGGCTAAAACAGACAAATGGTTTCTCTGGAACATCCAGCTCCGAATTTTAACCCAGAAACTATGAGAGACAGATGTTGTCACATCCCCCTCACCTCATCTCCACGTCACTAAGGCTATCATCCACACCTACTTACTGAACCACCACCAAGCAGTTACCCTGAAGTCCAGTTTCCAAGCCCACAGTTCTCCCAGGCAACACCCAATGGATCCCAAATGTGTCATTGGATGGTGAATTCTAATTGGATTGCCGTTTCGGTCAGTGGGGACCTTCTGTATATGCCCTGGTGAGTACAGGTCTTGAGCTCTTCAGAAAGCACTCATAGCGAATGTTATGTTGATCATGTCCTAATCTGGAGTTTAAGAAAGACGTGCTCCCTGTGTATCGCCAAGGTTAGAGGATCTACAGGTGACCCCCACAGGGCACCGGGGAGTTTCCTTTTTACTGGCAGACACAGCAGACCTCTCAGTATCAAAGGCCAGAGGAATGAAAATCTCTGATCACCATGGGGGAGAGAAATAAAATGCCTGGGTCCATGAGCTTTCAGACTGATTAGATTTGGGATGAAATGGACTTTACTGCCTACAGTAAGGATTCCAGAGGCAAAGGGCTGCAGGGTATCCAGATACCCCAGAACTGTGTATAGGGCTTCAAATTTTTTTCTGACTCATATTTTTGATGGAATAAATTTATCAAACAACTGTTTAAGGTAGAGGAACCCTTTCTGTGATGCTTCTGAGAAATCCTGTCATCATGGGTAGATACATACAGTTTCGGCGAAGATCACACACCTCCTGGAAATCACCCTCAACCATGACTGAAGCCTACCAAGACTGTAGATACTGTATTCCAGCCAGAAATAGAAACGTGAACATTCAACCCATTCAGCTGTATGCTTTGGCCAAACAACAGCCCACTTGTTTGCCTGAAGAACCTAAGAAGGTATTGGAGAAACGTGACCCAATGGCCAGCAAGAGCCAGAAGGGCTTGCCTGAAACCCAGGGTCCAACATCAGCCAAATCAGCTTGAAGGGACTGTTCAAGCTGCAGGAGCCTCTGTGCAGTGGGCAGGGTTGGAGGGGCGGAGGGGAGCCTCTCTCTCTATCTTGACTGACCTGGTAAAAATGATCCCTCCACCCTTAGTGGCAGAAGACCCTGACCTGCCTGGAACCTGCCAGGGTAAGG